TGAAGAGATCATAATATAATAGGCGGAAGAAAAACTATTAACAAGAAGCTTTGATGGGACCAAAGCTTGTCACGAAATGTATTTTGATGATTGATGTACAACAGAATCAATTGTATAAAGTTTTGAGACAAATTTGATGTAAAAAAAATTAAAAAACCGTGTCATGAAACGGGTAAAATTTTCACAAAGATTGCGCTCAATTGTAGCTCCTACCTAAGTACTAAATTAAGAAAACTTTACAATTGTAGACGATTAGAAGAGCCGTCATTCATTAAATCAATGCAAAGTACTCGTAATCATTTCTGTTCATAACGTTCTTTTCGCACGATTTTGATGACGTTTTTTCTTTTCTTGCTCCTCTTCTTCGTCTTCTTGCCGCATTTTCTCTATATACTCGTCTAGCGGTGCAATGTTAGTTTTTGGGAATGTTTTGTCCGTGAGAGTAGCCTTTTTTCGGCACTCATCCTGTCGTGCCGCTGCTTTCTAAAAGGTTAGCTTTAAGTTTACACTTAATTCTTCATTCTAAAATCTTGATATTTACTCGGACACACACCTGGACATAGCGATGGATTTCTTGGATATCTTTTAGGTAGTCCAATGCGCATTCGTACATCCCTCTTTTGAAGTATTCCTGAAGAACAACTACGACAATAATTTTTTCGATGAACTAACTGATTAATATGTCGTGCGCACAAGTGCGTCGACGAATAACAAAGCAAAATCCAGATTACTGTATGAATTCAAAGTTTACGCTGAGTTAACAGCTAATGCTTAGTTCTCATAAGCTGAAGTGTTATTATTTTAGTTTTAATGACGAGGAAGAAGGACAAGGTGATGAATGAAAATGACTCACAAGAAAGTTGCTAATGTTTTCATTTCATACGCTTACTTAGTTAAATGTGCTGTTTATTCACAACAAGGTCTCTTTCATAAAGTTTTTCTTAGCTTTGAATGATTCACAAAAAGACTGACTCTCCAAATTAGATCTTATACCTATCTATATATTTTTATTTTATTTCATACCATTAATACTGTAGAAAACTCACATTAAACATATTATCAGCACTCGACTGTAGTACAATCAAAGCAACCAAAAGAACAATCCCG